CGGTCTGTATTTCAGCTTCAGATCGTACCGAAGGGGAGGTAGCCGAGCGTTGTTATAAGCGTCCTTCGATCGAAAGTGCTTGTACTCGTAATATTCACAAGAGATATGAGAAGTAACTTCTTGAAGGGCTTGAGTGGGCGGTGGCTGTACTTGTTTCCTAAAATTAGAGGCCCACGTCCTTTCGACTAGGAGGATCCACGGATCGCATTTAATAGAAAAGATCCTGTTTTTCCATCCCCGGTTGTTTCCTAGGAGGTTTGGGATCGAGCAAAGGAACTCCCTGGACTGAGCCATTAAGAACTCTCCTCCCCCCCCCCCCCCCCCCCCCCCCCCCCCCGTGCTTAGCCGCTAAGGGTTTAACGACATATGATAGGAATATTTTTGTAAGTTTTGATGAGCCAAATGTACTATAGATCCCCTTAGATTTTAGGTCTCTAGCTCAAGCATCATAAACCAGAATATCGAGTCAAAGGAAATCTACCATATGAAGAACAAAATTAATTTGGGAAATTAATTTTGGTCCTACGAGTATTCATCCGAGAAAGAAGCATAAAAGAATGGCGTTGCAACAAATAATTGGATGAGCTTAACGGTGAAATGGTAGAAGTCCTTACTTAAAACGATCATACCTGAGATTGATTCCCCTCCAAGGACTTATTTTTTACAAGTCAAGAATTCAGACAAGCACAATGTTCTTAAGGAGCACGATGCGTACAAGAACAATGTTCCCAAGGAGCACAATGTTCTTAAGAAGCACGATGTGTACAAGCAAGATGTCTGAAAAGGAGCACAATGTGAACAAGCACGATGTGTCCAAAGGAGCACAACGTGACCAAATCAGAAAAGCACAATGTTCAAGTCAAACAAGCAAGAAGTGTCTAAGTCAAAGGAGCACAATGTGGCAAAAATGTGAACAAGCACGATGTGTCCAAAGGAGCACAATGTGACCAAATCAGAAAATCACAATGTTCAAGTCAAACAAGCAAGAAGTGCCTAAGTCAAAGGAGCACAATGTGGCAAAGAAGCAAGATGATCAGAAAATGGATAAATTCGAAAGAATTTATTTTGAATCTACCCACATGCCACAAGAGTCCAAAGTTGCCTGAAGATATGATCAGAACGTGAGAAATATTTATGAAGACATGAATATAAAAACTTATCCTAGAAATAAATTCTATCAGAAGAATTTATTTCAAAGATTCGTTGGAAATTCAAATTGACAACAAAAATAATATTTTAAGAAACAACTTGAAAATCAAGTTGAGATAAAATATTATTTTGTCAGGCAAGTTGACAATCAAATCAAAATTGAAGATCTACTGTTGTCAACAATAGCAGGCTATGAAGATTCAAATTTCAAATATCAAATTATCCCACTCCAACGGATATATTTGATTATCTATAAAAGGGACATGAAGACTTGAAGAAAAGATAGAGGTGAATACAAAAAATACACACGGATAAACAAGTGCAAAATTCGAAAAGTGCAATTGCTCAAATATTCTTTAGAGACTTAGTCTGAATAGTCTCAAAAATAGTTGGAGAGAGATACAATTACCTTTGTATTTGTAATTGTTAGAAGAGTATAGCTGTGTGCAAAATACTCTAGTGAGTGTAGCTATGTGCAAAACACTCGTGGTTGCTAAGTGGAGCTGTGTGCAAAACACTTAGTTGGCGTTGAGTATAGCTGTGTGCGAAATACTCGTAGTTGAGTGTAGCTGTGTGCGACACACTCGGAGTTGGGTGTAGCTGTGTGCAAGACATCCGGAAGAAGTGCTTGTGTAGCGCTTATTCACTATTGTAACTGTGTGTGGAAAATAGTGAATTACTCCTAGAAGTGAATGGAGTAAAGTGGACTAGGAAGATTACGCCACTTCCGAACCACTATAAAAAGCCTCTCTCATTTACATACTGCACTTACATAATTTGCTCTATCTATCTATCTTATCCGACTAACCCGTTTACTATTCACAGTTAATCTTAATCATTTGGGTTTAGCATGTTTTTACGTATGTATGTAACTCAAACTTTTCAGGCTTAAATAGTGACTTATTCTAAGCAAGTTTGACGTATTGCATGTGACGTTCGTCATACGGTCGACGTGATACGATATCTTATTTATAGTCTTGAATATTATTGTTACATATTGAGTGAACCATCTCCTTTAAATATTCAAGATATTCATGTCATCCTCACACCTCATTTAAACTTGCTATACACGTGCATGTGATTCAAATTATTAATTGAGCATAACTCTTTACACCTATTTATTCCACTGTGCAGTTCAAGCTAACTCTATTTACTTGTTACTTAGAGTTGAAGTTACCAAAGAGTTATTACTTGTGAAAAAGCTTGAAAGTCTATTCACCCCCCCCCCCCCCCCTCTCTAGACTTTCACCACCCTATCGGGACCAACAACATAGATGAAGTTGAATAACTCCATCGTGCATACTGCATTGTGCCGGGCGCAAATTTGCGGGAAGCATGGAATGATTAGGTGGGTGTTTGGGCAAATTTGTCCCGGTAAAACCCGGAAGTAGCCAAGAAAGGCGGTCAAGAAGGGGGAGAAGGGGAAGGTGATCGAGGCCTTCAGGGAATCGTAATGAAGCCCGATACATTTGCCCCGATGGCGCTCCTTGACTCCCCCGGAGGATCTCCGGGTGTTGAACGCTACTCGTCCGTTGCTTCATTGGTGGTCAGTAGACACTTTTGCCGATCGACGCTCTCGCTGTTGAGGAAGACCATTTTTATCTCCTCTTCGACCGTTGCCGGAGCGTCCCTTGCGGCGGCCCCAGACAAAGCTCCCACTGAGCGGGGTGACAAGTGGGGGTCGGGCCCGATCCCCAGCGTGCGGGTTGGCGTTTCTGGTTCGTCAGGTGCTGAGGAAGCGCCTGTGACAACCCAAAATTTTATTTTATAAATTCGGTTTTAAGAAATTCCAAAATAGCCATTTTTCACTCTATAAAACTTTTTGAGATAAACTTCGTATTTGAATAAATTATTTTGGGTTACATTTTACGTGAATTCAGCACCGGAAATTATTTTAATTCAAAAATCCTAAATTCTCGGGTACATTGCGTACCAAGTTTTTGACCCGAAAGTCAATCTGAGTGAAACCGGGAGCACTACAAGAAATCTTTCATTTCCCGACGAAAATTTTAACGACGCTCTAAAAAACGTCGCTAAATATAACAGTTAGTGACGTTATATTAAATAACGTCACTATATATTTGGGTAAAGACAATAATTTTTTTTTGTAATATTTACTGACGAAATATAATTTTTTTGTCGATAAAGATATAGATTCAATGACGTTTTATAATAAGTGTCCCTAAATATTTTGTTTTAAAAATCAATTTTAGCATAAAACGTCGGGAAAAGTGAAAATATTTGGTGGGAAAAATTTTTATCACTTGGCGCCATTAAGAAAGAATATCTTCAGAAATTTAAAAAAAAAATTGTGTAAAAATCTTCCAACTTCGCCTCTCTACACTACCCTAGCAGCAGTACGCAGTACAAAACACACCATCGCCATTCGCCACTCCGTGACACCATCGCCATTCGCCTTCATCAGCACCGCTCCGTGACACCATCGCCATTTCCACTGCGAGAAGAGTGTTGTCGTTTCTGCAGCGGCGTCGCACTATAGAAGGAAGAGAGGTGACGCTGAAGATCCTTTAGAATGGACCATAGCCATTTCCATTGACCTCTAAGCCAGTGAATTCACTAATTTCTTTCCGCTTGCAGGTTAGTTATTTAGAATGAATTAGATCCTTTTAACTTTGATAATTTCATGTGTATTTTGCTGTTCTCATAGACTAAAGAGGCCTAAGAACCCGTGTCTCTGGTTTTCCCCTAATCTCACTGCAGTATAATGAAATTTTCTTTGCTTTTAATTTCACTATTTTCCCCTCATCTCATCACTATTTTCTCTGCCTTCATCTCTGCAAACCCCAGTGGAAGTCTTCCAAAAGGACCCAAGCTTACAAGAGAAGATTCATGTCCAGGTAAATACAAACCCTAATCAACTAATCTCCACCAAGCATCCATGTATAAACTCTATTTTTGGTATCATTTGGGTAATTTTTTGCTCTCATTAGTTAGAATAGGATAGCTTTCTCTGTAATTTCTTTAAAAACTTTGTTGTGATTTGTTTTTTATTTTATATATATATATATATATATATATATATATATATATATATATATATATATATATATATATATATATATTTATTTATTTAAATTCATTATGAATTACTCATATGAAGGTTAGGAGTTTAGAAATTTAAGAGTTCCCTTTTCTCATGATTTGGTGTTTAATATGCAAAATCTGAGCTAGCTAGGGTTTTGTTTGGGTGAAAATATTGTGATCTAGGGCTTGGATGCTTGTTTAAGTTGAATCCTACTTAATTATTGGCTCACAGTAAAAATGTATCAAGGATTATTAGCTTGATGCCTAATGACTTGCATCATATAGTTTTGCTGACCCTAGTACATACACAGGATTAACCATAGGATGATCCCAACCTGCAGTTACAACACATATTTATTAATAAGCTTTGTCATTGAATAGAACAATTACTGAGATTGTGACCTAACCAATTTTTGTTTAAGGTAAATTTCTTAGGAATTCACTTCTCTGTGGAGGGTTACCATTACACCATTACCGCCTTACAGGGTTCCAGCTCAGCCACAAAATCTGAAAAACCAACTAAAAATTATTGTAAATGCAGTTGATTTGTTTCTTTCATTTTTCAATTAACATTTTTAGATTTTTGTTTCTAGATAATCAGGATAGCTAAACAAATGTTCTACAGAAAAGGTCCATACTTTGCTGTATCATTTATTGTTTGTATTTGTTTCGCTGAGCATTTACATTATGTAATGGTTGTATTATCAAGGATGTTAGTACTTCTTGCTAAGATCTCGTTTTGTTTTCAGGCAATTGACCCGAGAACTCGCATGGTTTTATTTAAAATGTTGGACTGTGGTGTGTTTCATGATATCATCAATGGCTGCATTTCAACTGGTAAAGAAGTATGTCAATGTGATTTTGTTTGCCAAGTTTGCTTCTTAGTTATATTTTCCTGTAAGCTGTCCACTTGAATTGATGTCACCTGTTTTTTTCAAACAGGCCAATGTTTACCATGCTACAAAATCATATGGGCAGGAATTTGCAATCAAAGTTTACAAGACTTCAGTCCTTGTATTTAAGTATAAAATTATTCTAAGCGTTTAATTCCTTTCTACTAATCTTATCTTTATGTTGATTTCATAATTATGATTGATTTTGTCTTCTACTAAGCATAGAACTAGTGAAAGTGTGCATAATTATTATTGATTTTATCTTCTAGATCTAAGCTTATGAAACTAAACTGTGCACACTTTTACTAGTTTTAAGATGCTCTGTTGATCTCATTTTCTCTTAGATTTTCTACAAAAATGCTGTTTTATTTTGTTGCCTTAATCATAAACATATGTTTGCTTCATGTTGTGCTTTTTGAAATTAGTTGTTTGTAAGACTGTGTTTTTGTAAGGTTGTTAGTTGCTAGTTATATGGGCCATAGTGATTGGTATAGTTGTATTACTTTCAGGAAGAAGTGTCATTCCCCTATTATATCAGCATAGAACACTGTTAATTTCCTTACATGATTCATTTACTGAAAGTGCTTCTGCAACTGCAGGCTCAAGGCAGTTGGAATAAGGTGCCCAACTCCACTTCTTTTGAGGTTGCATGTTCTGGTTATGGAATTCATAGGTAAAAACTGACTATAATGATTCATGAGGCTCATTATGATTTATAATGTGTTTGTTTATTTTGAACTTATATTATACTTAATATTTTGTTAAAATTTAAAACTTATATATATATATATATATATATATATATATATATATATATATATATATATATATATATATATATATATATATATATATATATATATAAAATAAAAATTGAGGCATTAAGATTGCTTTTGTAAAATTAATGCAATGATTAATTTAGGATATTATGGTCAGGTTAATCCCTCCATGAGTACCTGTGTCTATCTGGGCTTTGAGGCTGAAACATCCTTGAATATTGCTCTGCTCGTATTTAATTTGAGGACTAAATGTGAGCTTTTCTCCCACATTTACCTCCCCATTTTCTTCTTGGATACCTGTATACACAAACATGCATGCATAGACGCATACATACATTTATTATTATTGGTTGTTGGTCTGGGTGGTGAAATAGAAAGGGGAAAGATCACTTCTATTAGAGTGGCCAATTGCAATTTATGTTTTCTTTATAATTGAATTCATCACAGTGAAGGTGCAGTAGTCATCTTTTGAGTAATTTTTGTGATTTTATTTCTATAGTCTAGTTGATGGTCTTATTATTTTTCCAATTGCATATTGTACTGTTTAGATTATCCAGCAGATGCTGGAACACTGGTTGACTCTCATATTGCAATCTATTAATGTTCTTAGTGTTCTCTGCTAGATAAATCTTTGCTTATTTTTCATTGATTTATTTTCTTAGGTTGCTTGATATGTATTTGGATCCGGATCCCATGAATGACAAAGAGCCCATGTTTGCAGCTGTTGTTCACCTACTACACAACCATGGAGATATGCTGGACCCATTATATACACATTACATCCTTGTAATTCAATATTATACTATAAAATATAAAATGTATATATTCTCTTATTTTGAACATTTAATTGATGCTAAAATATTTTATTTTCAATTACATGAAACTGTTGTATAAATCTTTTTATATACAAGCATATGTAAATATCATCAATTGTTAAAAAAATTGCAAATATCTCCAAATATAAAATTTTGCGATCACAACGAATATGGAAAATATGTCAGTAAATGTCTTTTTACTGACAAATTGTTATTTTGTCATCAATTAATTTTTTTTAGTGACAACATAATAACGTACACAATCGTCAATAAAATAACACATTTCATTTTTCGTCACCAATTAAATTTATTCATGACAAGCATAATTGTGTAGAAAACGTCAGTAAAAACACATTTGCTGACGAAATATTTTACTTCGTCACAAACTATTACCGACGTTTTTGTTAATATTTCGTTTCAAAAAGTATGTATTCCATGACATTATCAAGACCATGTAAAAACGTCAGTAATCGTAATATTTTATGACGAAAAATTAACTTCGTCAGTAATACCTTTCCATACGCCGCTAACCCGACGGTCCGGGTGACGTTTTTATTTCGTCAGTAAAGACATTTGGCGACGTATTTTTATTTTTACCGACGTTTAAAAAACGTCGCTAAATGTTAACATTCTTGTAGTGGAGAAATCTAAACTAAGTGGTTGTCTAGAAAGTATTTTTGGAAAAATGTATTTTTGACCCCAAACTATTTAAAATCTCATTCCTAGACTATGGTTCATGTTGCATGATAGACCACAGGCTTGCCTGATATTTTGTAGAACTCAACCAAATTACTATTTTGCCATCAACCAATCATTGGTGATCTACCTAGGGTTTTGCACCCATATAAATAGAACCCTCTCATCTTGTTTCTCCTGATCCTCTTCATTTCCCTCTCCATTTTCTAAGCTCTGTAGAAGAAAGGAAGCAAAGGCAGTAAGTTCCACAATCTCTATTCATCCATTTCATTCTCAGACCTTGCATTATCCACCTTCCATCTCTGAGTTGTCTTAAACTTAGTGTGTATCTATGTTTGCTTGAGGAAATAGGTGGTGAAGGAGGGTAACACCTGAGATAGAAAGGAAAGGGAACCACACAAAGAGAAGGAAGAGCAAACAACAAAGGTATAACCCCATGGACTCCCATCTTAAGTTTGGCTCTGTGAAACCATTGTTTTATAAGTAGAAATGAGTAGAAATGCTAGATCCTTGAAGTGTTTGAGCTATTAAGTGATCTATTACTTGTCTATGATGTGTTGTTGATGTTTTGGATGTGCTAGAATTGTCTGAAAATATTTTGCAGATGAGAAGAAATCATCTGGTGCACAGGTAGTGTGCACCAGTAGATTCACCGGCCCCAGCCAACGGCCCAACAAGGGGACCGTTGGCTAGAGTCATGGCCAGCCGGGCCTAGGGAACGGCCCTAGGAGAGGGTCGTTGCCTAGAGCCAGCGAAATGGCGGTTTGAGGGGCGAACCTAGTTGAGCCCCGCCCCAAGGTCTGTGAAGTTGTTCCTTGTGCAGTGGCCGGGCCCTTGCGGCTTAGCTACGTGTCGTTTCGAACCAGGTATCACGGGCCCTTGCGGTTCGGTACCTCGGGGTCGTCTTGATACACGTTTTGGCTTTGATTTCGTTGGTTTTGGTTAAGTTTTGAGCTATTTATGATTGTTTTTGTAAAAGAAATTGTTGCAGAAGTATTTGGTTTCATTCACTGTTTTTGGACTTATGAATTACCAGACTTGTTTCAATTCATGAGTTGAGCATGATATTTTATTTTTGTAAATAGAAAAGCATGAGCCTAAATGGTTGGTTTTCGCTAGCAAAGCATGCCTAAAGTATTTACAATAAATTGTTGAAGTTCACTGCCAAGTTCATAATGTTGAGTATGTTTACTGTGAGTATATTTTTGAGTTCAAATAGCATGCTAACTACTTGCTAAGTGTATTTGAGAAGATTTGTTAAGTTATGAGTTTCAAGCATGTTTTATTGAATTGTTGAGTTTCACAACGAATAGAAAGTAGAAGCATATGGTTACAGTAAATGCCATTTTGAGCATATCACGTTTTAAAAGTGCATAAGTGGCCAACGTGAGCCTAAGTATTATTTTCCAAATATCTCATTTCCATGTAGAGCATCTTTATCTTGTCTTTTGAGAATGAGTTGAGAAGTATGTGCATTTCTTTTTGCATAAGTTAAATGTTGCATATATGAGATGCATGAGTGATATATCTATATATAACTATGGTGAGGAAAACCTTGTTTTAGAGGACCCGTTTGGACTATGTCCTCTTGGGAAGAAAGAAATGGACATTGCGGTCTAAGTGTATGTAACGCGGCATATTCCCACGTTACAAGGTTGGAAATTTCCAGCCAAGCTTGGAATCCTGGTCAGGGGGTGTGCACACTAAAAGTTCGATACCTAATTCCACAGAGATGAGTTTAGAACCAAGAGAGTGGTTCGGTGGATGAGATTGAGCATAGGTCGGCTAGAGGTCGTACCGGGATAGGTTCGTTCACGCTACGGTGAAGTTCCTACCTTATCCATTTGTAAAGAAAGCGAGTCATTGTGACTCTAAGAAAGCGAGTCATTGCGACTCTAAGAAAGCGAGTCATTGCGACTCTAAGAAAGCGAGCCATTGCGACTCTAAGAAATGAAAGCAAGCGAGTCCTTGTGGCTCTAAGAAACCTCCACAGAAAAGTATTCTATTTTCAAACGAGCGTATAAGTATACTTATCCTATAGCATCCTAATGCATTTGAGTATAGTATTGCACGAGATTACATAATGAGTATGTTTGCACGAGATTGCATAATGAGAATGTTACACGAGATTGCATAATGAGAATGTTGCACGAGATTGCATAATGAGAATGTTTGCACTAGATTGCATAATGAGAATGATTAACCGAGATTGTATATTGAGTATGATTGCCTTAGTTGCATATTGATGTCTTATATATCTAGTTTGCATGATGAGAACTCAAAAGCATGAGAACAATTTCTTATTGATTGATAGTATGCAATTGCTTGATAGCATGAGATCATCATGATGAGTTTTGCTATGATGAATATGTGTTAGAGTGATTATGTTGATAAGTATTTATCGTTGAAGCATGCCTGTTGATATTATAGGTTGCGAGCATATAGAAAGCTTGTAGTTTATCTTAAAGTTGTGTAAGTGTTGAGATTGCTTGATTTGAGAATGTGAGCAAATGTTTTTCCAAAGTATATAATGTAGTATTTTACAGGGTTGAGTGTGGTTATACTTAGCTTCGTGCTAACGGGTGTTTTCTACTTGTCTACTTGTTGTTTTGCAAAACCCCTTTCAGGTGGGCCCAGCGTTTGAGAGTTGTTCGAGTTAGACTAGTTTAGTAGATCTAATAGTCTAAACTCTGTTTATCTTTATGATGTTTTGGTTGATGGATTGTAGACTTATGTTATTTATGTTTGGTGATAGACACCAGGGTGTTTTTCCCCAAGTGGCTTTAATTAAGTAATTTCAATTTTAGTTCGACTTGATGATTTAGTTCTATCCTTAGCCTGTGCAATCACCGTGGAAGGGTGGTTGTGGCGGTGACATTCCCACTAGTTTGTTATTTAAGTTTGTTTATCCGCTGCTTAGTTTATCTTAATTTGGTTTTTAGAACGGTAATTAATTTTAAGAAAAGTAGGGTGTTACAGCGCTCGTGTGGTCTGAAGCCTCTCTCTCGTCGCTCAATGATTCCCCGGAATGTTCGGAGGCCTCTGCCGCGTCCCCAGCTGCAGGTGACGATGGGGCACCGAGAGTTGCCTTAGACGACTCTTCAATCATTTTTTCCTCGCTATCGATCTCCATGTCGTCGTCGTAATCCGCAACGGAAGCGTTTTGACTATCCGAGCTCGACATTATCCTTCATAAAGGATAGGGCGGCGTTTCAGAGGAGAGGATCGGGTCGTGATAACCCGAGACAAACGGGGTGAAAGGAATATAAACCGGGGAAAACCAAGCTAATGAAAATAAAAAGCAATAAAAAGGAGGAATGCGAGCTTACCGATCGGATTGATCTTGTAGAAGTAAAAACGGGAGTGCTCGAGCGCTTGCAGT